TCGAGAAAAACCAAAAAACTGAATTCCAAAATAAAAAACCACCATTTAAGGACAACCAGAAACATAGAAAGAACAATCTTGCTTTTGGCCTCTCACTCTACCACCCCACACCCTGGCCACCCCCTACGAAAAATAGTACTAATAAACAATGAAAGAAGGGCCTTATTTTAGCCAAATAACAGTTTAATGTATGCTGTCAAGACAAACCTGATACATTTCCTTTAACTTCAAAGATATTGCATTGAATCCTGCCATGAATTCATCCAACCTAAACATTACAATTGTAACAGATTCAGTTGAGTGAGATTTGACAACTTCTGATGAAAGATAACCGTTAAGTCACAACGGGGAAAAATAACATGAGAGGGTATTCGTGCCTTTTCTTTCTCCATTCATCATACTGCATCTTTATATCATCGCGCTGTTGGGTAACTGTGTTAAGGTCCTCAACTCGCTCATTATACAGTGAAACTTTTCTTCGATATCTATAACATCAAGTACTTTAGTGAACAGTCATAGAACAAAATAAATCACACTTTGGAGACATTAAAATTGACAACAGAAAATATTCATACTCTGAGATTGAATCGAGGTTTGGATTCATCTCTTTCAGCTGTGCTTCCAGCAATGCCACCATTTCAAGTGCCCTTTTCAGGTCACAAGCCTCAATTAGAGTCTCATCAGCCAAGGTCGCTTGAAGCTTTTCAGTGTCTACTAGATCTTTCTGTATCCTGCAACCAACAAGATACAATGTCATTTACCACCAAAAGCAACCAGTTTTCAAGCCACAAAGAGACATACTGTTCCATATGCTTTTGTAGAGCAATTTCCAAGTCCTCAAGCCTTTTCTTATAACCATTCCCCTTAATTTCTAACTCCTTATACACCTTTTTCATTTCTTGGAATTTGAACTCAGCATCCACCTGTGAAATCACCAAGTTGATGGAGTTAAATCAACAAGCAAAAAAACCAAGAAAAAAAAGCTTCAAGTTGCATAATACCTCTGATGCACGCAACTCATCAACCAATTTTTTCTCTTTTTCATACTCCAATTTTGATTTATCCAGCACTTCTCCATGTTCATCGATTAACTATTAAAAGGAGAAAAAGTCAGGCATTTGTACAAGGTCACTGTGGTTTTCATCTTTACCATAAAGTATCAGAGGGGGTGGGGGAAGAAACTGAAAAACCTTCTGCATCTTCTTATAATTCTCTTGAACCATAAATGCCTTCTGCTCTATTTCTTTAAACATGCCACGCAGCTTTTCCTTCCCCTCAATGATTCGTTCTTTCTCCTTCTTTGACTCTTCAATCCCCTTTGTCAACTTCTTCACCATTTTCTCACCCGTCTCTATTTGAACCTTGTGACGGTTGATCTCTGTGCCATTCTTGTCAATATCCTAGCAAAATGAACAGCATAAATTACTAGTTTACCACGGATACTCCACAATAGGAATTTGTAAATTTCATGTCATGCAGAACTTACAGACTGTATCTTTTCAACCTTAGACTTCTGCATTTTCAACCTTTCACCCCCAGCATTTTCTATCTTATTCTGCAGATCTAAAGCCTAAAAATAGAGGAAAAGATTAAGCAAATTAATATGGCATCAGTAGATGGAGCACTTTACATCCTAAATTCTGTAAATATTACAAATATATAGAAAACGATCCAGTGGGGAGATGATAGATCAAAACAAAAACCACAAATGAGGGGCACAAAAGATTGGACTTTTGCACATGGCCATCCAAATTTACTTGAAAGTTTTTAATTACAAAGAAATTTGCCAACTTTCATACGCACCAGTTCCTTCAGCTGTTTAGACCCTTTAATGAGTCTATCAATCTCTTTTTCTTCTGCAGAAATGGTCTCCTTAAGCTCCTCCAGCCTATGAACTTCATCCTGCTTGGGTCGTGAGGCAGCCTCCAGGGAATCAAGTTGCTTTTCAAGATATTTATATTCCAAATTCAAACTGTCAATCTGTTTTTGAGGGAGAGAAACATTGCATGAAACTCCAATTAACAAATCATATAAGCTTCGGAAAATTGATAACTAAGAATACCTCTTTTTGACTTTTAGCTATGTCCATCTCCAACTGCACAACTATCTTTTCTGAGGATTGGTATTGCCTGACTGCATCAGCAATTCTTTGCCGGATACTATTTAACGATCCAATCAAAGTACCAAGCTCCTTCTCAGCATTAATAACAGCTTCTCTAGACACGCTAGCCGCTCGAATAGATGTTCCCATCTTACCACCACGTGGCTTGCTTCCCCCACCACTCATGGTTCCAGATTTTTCAAAAAGAGCACCATCAAGCGTTACCACACGTCGAAATTCTTTGTTTCCACCATATGCAATACGTGTTGCCTGAATTGGAGAGGTAATGTAACTCAGTTTCAAATCAGGTTGAAATGAGATTTGACAGAAATAGTATGTCATGTTTCCTTATTAACTTGGAACACATCACAAGGATCGCACTTTCCTATGAATACTCACGTCTGCCACCATTACCTAAAACCTCATATATCTCTCTAAACTATCATGTCTAAGTTCTGAAATTCCTTCCAGATATTACAATGGAACACAGGCAAATAAATTACTGCACCATTCCACTTAATTATGGTGAAACAAATACCTACCTGATCAAGATCCTTTGCTACAATTGTGTTTCCAAGAGCAGCAAAGAAGGCAAGTTTCAGTCTTTCATCCTGAACTTTAATCAAGTCATAGAGACGTGGAACTCCCTCAGGGGTTCTTACTTTCTCCTTTGATTTATGTAAAAGATCAACCTGTTTCTCCTGCATGAGTCAAGAAAAATGAAGTCATGATAAATTTTAAGGGCCAACAACCTAAACTTGACAATACCAAGTTATACAACTCCAAGATGCAAATCTTTCAGTTTTGCAGACTTCAACACCACATTCTGACAACTGCACAGCTTTTAATCACTATATATGACATGCAAGATCAAAACCTTTTATAGGACGAAGTTGGTAAATTTCCATCCAATGCATCCTGCAGCACATATGTAAGTTTTACTTTCCTACTTTCATACAGAAGCAATTACAGCCAGTATGTTTAACTAGCCTATATAACCTACAAGATGACAAAAATTTAGCCTGTATTAAGATTTCTAAGAACAGTATCAGCAACCTCTAATTCAGAAAGATCTGTTCACTCAGGTATGAAAACATTAAGTAAATGCTATCAGAATCAAGTTTTACTGGACTTTCAATGATGCACAGCTCATACCAGAATCATGAATGTTGCAACACCAAGTTGCTCCCTCCGAAGCAGTTCAACACATGCTTGTGCTGCAGCAGTGGTTTCCACCACAATATAATCAAGTCCCGGACAAGCAGTTGAGATGGCAACATCATATTTTGCTGCAGGGCAACAAAAATGTAAATGCCATTGAATAACTTCATTGTAAATTTCACAGGATAATAGAAGATAACAATAGATGATATTAATATATTAAACATCAAAGCATGCAACTAATTGACTTGAAAAGGAAGGTCTGCAACCCAAAATTTTGTTTAAATTCTGTCAATTCAATTGAAAAAAATGCAAGGAGGAGAAAAAGTAAGGAAAGAATGGAGGTAGGGAAATCGAAAGACAAAGGAAGAGAACCAAAGAATACTACATGACACACATCCAGAAATGCTAAATTCACATAAAGCAATAAAGAGTTTCAGCAGACAGCAGTTATACTCCTTGAATCTTGAAAGATGGGAAGAGCTAATAAAAGAAAATATTGTGAACAGAAGGTCCAGAATACAGAAAACTCACCATCAATAGCACCCAAATCACCCATTCTACCATATATTCCCTCAATTTGATTGGATTCTTTAGCCTGCAAAATTGCTTTTAAAACAGATCCCTGGCTCTTCTCAGAATCCAGCACCGACTTTAGTTCTGCAACCTTCTGTCTTGCAGCTTGTTCAAGAGGAATCAATGCTTCTTGTTCTTTGATGCATTCCTGCAAAACCATAGGTTCTTCTCAATACATTCCATGATGGAAAAAAAAGTTGAAATAGAAAATTAGTTTAAAAAAAAGCCCTAAGATCAATTAATCATCGTGGTCTTACGAACCTGTTCCAGTTTACGTGCTTCCAATGCTTCAAGCTTGTTCTTTTCCAGATTACTTCGCTTACCCTCAATGGCTACTGTTATTGTTTCAGTTTTGCCCAATATGTTCTCCATCTCCTTTTGAGCATCCTCAAAAGCTGTATGAGCAGCTTCATGCTGAAAGAGTCAACTCTCAAATTAAACCAACTATTGGAAAGATTAGGATACAATTTCATTCCTAGCCCATTCATGAACAAGCAAGGTCTCTGTAATTATCTATTGTAGTTGACATCTGCATCTTTGCTACAAATAAAATCAAACTGCAGTCTTTAGTAGTTTTGGGATAGTATCAGAGAAAATTTTAAATAAAAAATTGTCATGATGGCTGCTGAGAAATATTCATTATACTTCTACTGGTAATGGAGTAGCTATAATTCAAGCTTACTCTAATATCATTATATACTAGAAATGAATAATCGAGCGAAATAAGCCAACTTAACTGGCTACTTTTTATTTCAAGTGATGAATGTCTGGACACATTGATAAAACCTTGAACAATACAGCTGCTTAATGATGCAAGCTTATTAAAACTGATTTTTATAGAGGAAAACAGTTTCATGGTATAAAAATACACTAAACATGACTTCTGTTCCAACCTTATTGAGAGAAAAGAGAAACAAAAATTAACACTATCACTTATAATTGAGGGGAGAAAGATAAGCTAGAAGCTGTCATAACTTCATCAATCTAATCAAAAATTGAATAGAAATATATAGCCACACCTTTTGAGTTAGAAGCTTGCTTTCAGTGTAAGCTACTTCAAGTTTTCCCTTATGCACAATCAGCTCTTTTTCCCACGGTTCTAATTCAGCACGAACCTTTGAAAGCTCGGAGCGATATCTCTCAGTTTCAACTGCTCATCAAGCAATCAAAAGCAACAGTTAATGAGGTTACATATGACCATGAAACTATAAGAACACAGCTAAAACCTGATTTCTAATTCAATAAAATAGCTTCATAGATAAGAACGCAGAATGTTAACTTTATTAAGATAGCTAAATAAAAATTTCTAAGTAACTAGAATCCAAGGAGGTCATATACCTTTAGAATTCTCTTTCATTTCTTCTAGGACTTTCTCCTCATCCAGCAAAAGCTTTTGAAGCTTTGGAATGTTCTCCTCAAGTTTTGGGATTAGATTTGTTGAGTTCTCACATTCCTTTGTCACGTCCTCAATTTTTAACGAATCCTGGAATGTGAGACAAAGTGATATATATGCACAAACTTAATTTAAGTAAATCAGGTCTTTCAAATACCTTTTCAAGTTTATCCTCAAGTTTCTTCAGTTTCTGTTTCATATGCTTCAGATCTTCCCGGTATTTAACATCCTGCCTTTCAAACTCCTTAAAGTCTTCCTTACTGGTTCTCAAATCATTATCAAGTTCCTAATTATTTAGGATAGAAACTATTCAGCTCATTATTTCAATAAGCCCAAGGCAGATTAATCATCACAGACTGCCTAACCCCTTTGTAATCAAAATCACCATCCAATAAGCAAGAACCTCTAATATCCATCAAGTTAAAATATTTCCACAAGCATATCTCTGAAGCACTACACCAATCAAATACAAACCTCTTTTCTTCTCAGGTGAGTGTTGTGCACAGACTCAAGCTCCTTCAACCTCTTGTTGCTTTCCCGAATCCCTTCCCTGGAACAGGACAACACAACGTTAAATCTTAATTATGTGTTTAAGAATAGAAATGAGAAAAGAATGTATATCTTGACCAACCTTTTATTCTTCAAATTTTCTTCTAAGTTGGATAAATTTTCTTGTAGTTCAACCATTTTCAAGTTGGTATCTTCAAAAGCCAGTTTTGCAGCTTTTTCTTGCCATTTCAAGAGAGAAAGCTCTTTCAGCATGTATGCTTCTGCCTCATTCTTAACATCCTATTGCACAGAAAATATGACAGATTAAATACACATTTTAGAGATGACATCATCCTAACAAGGGGAAAAATAGCATGACAAACAAACCTCCAAGCTATCTCTTTCTTTCTCCGCCAATTTAACCATTTGCACAACACCTGATCGTTTTTCATTGAGAGTTTCGAGCCTAGCAGCAACAACAGAAAACACCATAAAATGGGGTTAGACATGACTATTCTAAAAGATAGTAGGCTGCTAATATTACATGCATTATGGTGGAGCATCTTGATAGCTAGCAAGTATAAGATGATCAAATGTCGGGTTAAAAGGTCTGAAATGCTAATGCAAAAAACAGCAGGCATGTTGCAATAATTATTTCCTCATCCATACAGTTTCCATGTTCAAATGGAATTGGATGGAGACAATAAGAAGGAAAATAACTCTCACCAAAGTTTGCTGGAAAAATACTCACTCCTTAGATGATTCATCAATCTTTTCAACATATTTGTTAGTTCCTATTATGTCCTCCAGATATTCGAGGAAACCTTCGTCATGAGGCCCTTGTGCTTTTGGTTTCATCAGTGAAATTTGCTCAACCTCACCCTGATAAGGACCAGTACAAAAAATGAAAACAAGTAGAAAAAGAACTTGAAATTCCAAATACAAGCTCCTTGTGGCTACATCAAACCTGAAGAATAAGAAATCGATTGTTGTCAAGATCAACTCCTTTTCCTTTCAATTTCTTTGTAACCTCAGTAAAGTTACTAGCACGGTTATTAATGTAATATTTGGAGGAGTTATCCCGAAATGCAACCCGGGAAATAACAAAATCACTTCCTGGAACAGCTTCATATGTCCCATCATCCTGCATTCAATAGATAATTAGCTCAAAAGCATCAGCACCTCAAAATTTTTTAAAGCTCCATTCTGTTATTGGGACATAACAGTTAAATTCAATTAGCTAAAACTCATTCATTTTGTAATTAGAGAGCAGAGAAATTAATAAGCAGCATACAGCTTCTCAAAACCTTTGTTTGTATCTGTTCAGTCAGCTAGGTTAAAAACCTATAACTAAAATCAAGAGAATCCCAGATGCAAAACACTGACCAAATCAATAATTTCCTGAAAATGAACAGAAACACCAGCACTTTCAAGATTCTGATAATTTGTGGAATTGTGAATAAGCTCTGAAACTTTATTAAGCCGCATCTGCAAAATTAGATCAGCAAAATCATTGCATGAACGAATACAGAAAAGGAAAGTCCTCAAATTGTAATGAGTATGATATTAAAAGTACCATCATAACTTCAAAAGATCAAATTAGAAAATAGAATGGTAAAATTGTGTTAAACATTACCTGCTTTGCTCTTTTCCCAAATACAAAAAGCATGGCATCAATCACATTGCTCTTACCACTTCCATTTGGTCCAACCACCGCAGAAAAACTCTAAATTTCATCAAAACAAAAATAAATAAATACTTTAAAATTTCAGTGAGAGATATTTTAATTTCCTAAAAAAGAAAAACAAATAAATGAGAACACTTAATTTCCAGCCTATATCAAGTTTAATGAGCGCAATTATCATATAAAATTTTCATTTTCTTTCTCATTTTCCATTATTTCTCGGCAAGCAAGCAGCTCTTAAACTATTAACAAAAAATAATGAAAGCTTTTTAACTTTCTACATTTATTATAAAAAAATAAAAACAAAATTATAATTTATGTTAAATTTGTAAAATTATCATATCAATCTGCAATTTTCCTTCCCAATTTCCATTACTTTCTCGATAACCAAACAGAAACACTTAAACAAACAAAAAACAAAAGAAAAGAAACTAATTCAAGTTAAATTCGTGCGATTTGCCATCTTCCTTTTCAATTCTCCATTTTCTTGCAAACCAAATCGAAACAATGAACTAATGATAGAAAAAGCTAATTCAAGTTAAATTCGTGCAATTGTCACATCAACTTTGCAATTTTCCTTCTTTATTTCCAACACTTTCTCGGGAAGCAAACAGAAACTATGAAATTAATAATAGAAATTAAAAAGAAAAGGAAAAAATCCAACCTTGTGAAAAGGACCGACGCGCTGTTCACCAGCGTAAGACTTGAAGTTCCTCATCACCATCTCGTTAATGACCAACCTCGGGCCTCGAGATTCCCCGGGGGCCTGGTCTGGCTCGCGAGTCGCTTGCTGATCCGACGATTTCATCCCCATCTGAAATGAATGGCTGCTGAGTCAACTGGATGTATTTGACTCGGTCTGAATCCAAAGTTCGGGGAGAGAATTTGAGGAAATAAAAAGGAAGGAAGAAGAAATAATTTAAAATAATTTTTGTGAAATTTTAAAGGGCTGTTTTGGCGGGAATTTGAAATGAAAATTGGAAATGGGCCTTGGTTCGGCCTTTTAATGGGCTCCAAATTTGGAAACATAAAAGCCCGTTTCTTTTTTTATGTTTTTCTTTCTTGTAATTAAGTTGGGGGAAGAAAACAACTGACCGTGTTAATTATGTTTAGCCTTAGCCTTTAATTAAATATTTAATACCATAAGATCGATTGAGGGGAATACTTTTGTTCACAGTCTTGTCTACGGGTCTAAACTAAAAGGGTTTATGCATTTCCAAATTGTCATATGAATAACCAATTTTAACCCATTTTATTAAGATTGAGCAATCTCAATTGACTTGGTTTAGAAAAAATTGAAATCTCTTAAAAATAACTAAATCTATCAAATTACACAATAATAACTGAATAAATCAAAACCGATTAATATTCAATTGGTTCTACCAATTAGATCTGGTTTCTTATTTTTTTTATTTTTTCTTTTTGCAACAATTCCACACATGTTGTCACACCATTTACTGGTTTATGAAAAACTTGATTCCAATATTAAAAAGAAAAAGAAATTCTTATTTGCAACTATATAATGTAAAGTAGACAAGATAGAATTACAAATAAGAAGAAAGCCACTAAGCTAGGACTATGAGGACAAAGAATCCTCAACTTTTTATACAATTAGTACCCTTTTGTCCAAAACGTCTAATTGTATATTATAGTTATTTTCATCTAGTAAAGTTACTATTGCTGTTGAGTTTGCTTGGTGTATCGATTGATGTTGTTTGCTCAATTCTAATATGTTATCTAAACTTGGCTATGAACTCACCGGCCTTCCTTTCAACCTTGTAAGTGCCACTTTGAACTACATTGAACGTTCTAGATATGGTTTCTATGGAAAAACAGCACAATTAGAAAGAATAAGAGCAAACAATTGAAAGAAATTTTGTTAAATTATTATATACCCTTTTTATTCAGGTGAAGAATTATATCTTCACTTTTATTTATATATATACTTTACTATTTACAGAAAATTCTATGTAAGGGAACTCTCCAATGGTAAAAAAAATATAAATGCAATCTGTTAAAAAGCAAAACTAATCAAATTTTTCTGAATAGTTAAAAAAAAATAGAAAGTCGAGAGTTTTTATGCAATAAGGCATGGAGGAAGAGGAGCTGCCATAGGTCATTGAGGAGCAGCCATAGTCAGCAAGGGTTTTAAGGCATTAGATATTGAGGGCAATTTGAGTTGGCACATTGGAGGAGATATCTATACATAGTTTGGCTAAAAATTTGGTAATGTTATGGGCTAGTATCAAATCAGTGTTTGATTAGTTTGGTGTTGTGGTTGATGTATATGTTCCAAAATCCATTAAAACGAAAAGTAGGTTTTTTGCTTTTGTGTTATAGATTAGCTAAGAAGCAGCAAGCACCAATTTTTCATGGTGATGGGATGATAATTTTTGAATGACATATTATTGTGAAGATGACATTGGAAAGGGGATAGCTTACACGTGATCCACCTCAAGGTCGAATGCAAGATAATTTTCCTTAGCAATGTTTTATTTAAAGATGTTCTTGTTGATGGAAAACAATATGGGGGAAAAGATATATGTGCACAATCAAGAAAGGTGGAACTTAAGGTTGTGAATACAAGCAAGGAGATGAATGTAACTTCATAACCAAGGAAAGTTGAACATAAACCCAAGGCTGGGGATAAAGGTACAAAAAAGATTAGTGTTAGTGTCTTTATACCTTAGTTGAATGATTCATGGTTGAAAAAGAGTCCATTAGGTTTTGTTCAAAAAGGTTTGTGTTTATAAATGGTTGAATAGAATTTGATAGTGAAAGGCATGATGGTTTGTATTCATGAAGCTAGGGGACTTAGAGCGATTGTCACTTTCTGAATTGAGGATGAAATGGAAGTCCTTCTTGCAAATTACATGGAATACTTTCAAGAGTGGTTCACTAGCTTGGTGCTATATGACATCAAACAAGATAAACTAAAATTCTTGTGTTAGGTGGGAGTTGAAGGAATTTCGATTTATCTATGGTATTTTAACTTGTTCAAGGCACTAAGGGATTGTTGGGGAAAGTTTGTGAGAATTGAACAGAAAACCATGAATTTGGATAAATTCAAGCATGGACTAATTTTGGTACAAGTTAGTAGTTTGCAGAAATTCCATTATGTCCTCAAATTAAAATTAGAAAGGATCAATTTACTTTGAGAGCAATGGTTTCTAGTATTGTAAATGTTCAACCCCATATCACTACATTATCATTCACTAGCAATCAAAGGAAGGTGAATGAGGGTCCAACCAATAAAGTTTGTTTGGATGTAGATTCATCCAAGGAGGATAATTTGAAATTCAAATCTAATTCACAATTGGGTGAAGAGAATTTGCAAGGAAGCAAATCTTTTCAAAATTCAAAACTTTCCAATATTAAGAAAGAATTCAATTTGGTGGTGGGTTATAGGAAGGATTCTAACATGGCAAATGCTTTGGACAAAAAAAAGTGGATGAACTTAAGTTGTCTGAAAACGAACAATAAGGAATTAATGAAACAGTGTTGTTATGGCTGCCAAAGTAATCCTTTGAATATCGTTTATAAAATCGTATTTGGTGATGGAATTAAAGCAAAGGTTGATAAGGTTTTACAAGCTGGTAATGAAAAGGTTTTAGAAGAAAAAAGGTTGCAAGAAATTAGAGTTAAGGATGTGATTAACGATAATGTTAAACTAGAGGAGTGTTTGGTTGAGCAAAAGGAGGAAGTTTAAAATTTAGAACTAATTTCTCTTAACAGTAAAGTGGGAGAGTTTCCTAAGGGTGATGAAGTTTGGCAAAATTTGAATTCCAAGGCTATACCTAAAAAACTCATGTGATATTGGTAAAGGAGATTTTTTTGAAATTATCTCATGAATTGAATTATTGCTTATATGATCAAAGTGTCCAATTGTTGCTCTTAAGTAATTGGCAAATAGTTACAATCTAAAATAAGAAAAGGCTTGCGATATGGAGAAGACTTGAAGATTTGGGACTAGTAATTCGTGAATGGCACAAAATCAAATATGGTGTAATGAATCACAGAATGGAGGAGTTGAAGTTTGAAATTCATGATTTGGAGGTTGAATGACAGAGTACAGAGGAGGTGTTTGATAAAAGAAATGTGGTGATGAATAAACGTGTAGAATCATGGAGTTTGTATAGAATTGAAGAAAAAAAATGGAAATAGCAGTCTCAAAGCTGGTGGTGAGTGAAGGGGATAGAAACACCAAATATTTCCATGCAATAGCTTCTGATAAGAGAAGATCCAATCGAATGGTTAGTATCATGATGAATGATTAGATTGTTGATGTCCATAATCAATTAAAAATGAGGTACGCAAACATTTCTTTAAATTAAACAGTGAAAGGAAAACTTTCAAACTTGCAAATTTGTATTGTGGTATTCGAAAGTTGAATTCCGAGGTGGCATTGGAATTAGAGAATCCGTTTACAGAGCATTAAGTTTGGACAATGATTCATGATTGAGAAAGGGATAAAACTCTTGGGCCTAATGGTTATAATATGAACTTTTTTAAGACACAATGGCTAACGGTGAAAGGTGATTTAATGAGGTTTGTTGCTCATTTTTATTGAAAATGAAGGTTGGGCCATGGTGTAAATAAGAGTTTATAACTCAATTCCTAAAAAGAAAATCCAACCATGGTGGGAGAATATAGGCCAATCAATCATATGGGCAATGTTAATAAAATCATTGCCTAGTTGCTTGCAAATAAGTTGAAAAATGTTATTAGTACTATAATTAAGAAACATCAGTTTGCGTTTGTAAAAGGAAGGCAGTTATTAAATTGTGTTTTGATAGCTAATGAGTTAGTTGATGCTATGAGAAAAAGGGGATTGTTGTTGAATGTAGACTTTGAAAAAGCCTCTGATAATGTTAATTAGGGTTTCTTGGAGTTCGTCATGGAAATAATGGGATTTGGTAAAAGATAGAGAAGTTGATATTGGAGTGTGTCTCCACTTCATCTATGGCGCTCCTTGTTAAAGGGTCTCCTACTAAACAAATAAAAATGAAAAGAAAGCTAAGGCATGGATGTTCATTATCCCCATTCTTGTTCAACATGGTGGTAGAAGTCTTTAGCTGTTTAATGGAGAAAGCTAAAATAATCAATATATGTAATGGCATTTCTCTAAGAGATAGATGTATGAATATTATACATTTACAATATGTTGATAACACTTTATTATTTTATCCACATGATTTAGAGTATTTGCTAATTATGAAAAGAATTGAAATGCTTTTGGACTGTATCAGGTTTGAAAATTATTTTAAAAGAGCAATTTAATTGGAGTTTATGTCCATTTGAATGTTATTAATGAATATGCTACTAAAATTCATTGTCAAGGGGGTGTTTTACTATCCATGTATTTAGGTCTCCTTTTGAGAGCTAGTTAATTGTCGCTGAAAATTTGAAAATCTATAATTTAAAAGTTTGAAGCTAGGTTAAAAGGTTGGAAATCAAAATTGTTAAGAATGGGTGGTAGAATTACACTAATTAATTTAGTACTAAAGAGTTTGTGACTTACTACATGTTTATGTTTAAAATGCCTAACGAAATTTAAAAAGAATTGGAAAGAATTGAAAAAAGGTTTTCTATAGGTTAAAGGAAAACAAAATGGAGGAGTTCATTGTGATAAGTGGGACACTATCTTCAATTATAAGGGATGTGGTGGTTTCAGGATTGTAGATTTATTTATCTTCAATTAAATAAATGGTTGTGGAGGATTTAAATAAGTGACAAGCTTATACAAATTATGAACTCAATGATAAATATTAATTTAAAGGATTCAAATGATGAAAGTTGAGTTTATCTTGAATT